AAAAATCTACTTCAACTTTTAAGACTTTGTCAAATGCTTTGGTAAGATTGGAAACCGGCACAATAAAAATGTCAATAATAGTGAGCTAAAACAATTGCGTAACATCAATTTATTTATTGACTTTATAAACTAAACTTTATAACTCTTGCGTCCATAGTAGTTTGATCAAAATAAATTATTCGATGTTAATTACCAAGAAAATTGAATTTAAAACTACAAAATAAGGAATTATACTAATTAATATACATAAAAAATGACCGAAATGTACTAGTGTTTTACATAATATTTTTTCAATATAATTAATTTAAATTCACTAATTTCGTGGTCCGCTAGACCAATTAAATCATTTCAATTAATTAAGGTTTTTAGTTGAAAAATGGCAAAAAGGAGGGAATACTCATAAGGTGGGTTGAGATGGAAGTTAGTGCCCGAGTGGATCGAAGTCACGATAGCTCAAGTGCTAGAGTAGCGGCGTATCTAGCCGAAGATCGTGGGTTCGAATCCCGCTCGTGCCATTAACTTTTTTTCATCTCAACTAAAAACCTTAATTAATCGTAATAATTAATTTAGTTTTAATTTTAAAAAAATATAAATTCATATATATATATATTATATATACAGACCGCATTTCATGAGTGCAAAATATTCAATAAAAAATTTAATTTAATCAAATTGTGAAAACATGGCGTTCAAATTAATTTTTCTTCAAGAGTTTTATTCCAAAAGCAATTTATTATCTTTTAAGATTGGTTTATTTTAATGACTATTATTATTATATAATTACCGTTCACAAGTTATTTTATCGTATGATGGGGGTATTTATTGAACTTCAAAATCTTGTTCTTTTTTCTATTGGAGGCCTTTTCAAGGCTTGTTGAAGCTCGGAACATTTTATATTAAGAAACATTTCATCGAGGGACCGCGGTAGCCGAGTGGTTAGCATGAGAGACTCTCACGCCGCGGTCGTGGGTTCGATTCCCACCGTTGCCCCTGGCCCTTTTTCACAATAACCCCCCCAAAATTTGAACACACATATACGAATTGTCACATGGCTAATATGCATAGTTCATAACGCCAAAAAAAAAAAAAAAAAAAATTTCATCGTAGGTAGTGCAACCTTTTGTATGAAGTAAATCATGTTCAAAACTAAATTGCGATCATATTTATTCTCGCCTTCCTTTAATTCTAGAACAATCAGACCACTGACATGAAAAATAAAAAAAGGAAAAAATTGCATTAGCAATATTTATTGTAATATCATATATGTATTGTAGATAAAACATTTGAAAATATCGTACGCTGCTAAGTTTTTACTATATGTTTTATGGTAATTAAAATCAAAAAAATATTTAAAAAGTTAAATAAGGCATAAATTACATATAAAACCTTCTCGGTAAAATTTTACGAGAAAAGTTTTAATTTGGAATTAGAAACTCCAATAGAATAAAGGAGCATTGTGATGATTGTCGGCTGTGTTGTTTTGTTTACATTAATATCTCCACCAACATTTCCCACAGTGTGAAATAGGTTGGATTCTCGAAAAACATTGTATTGTTATATTAAAAGTCCTGAGATATAGAAGCAGCAAAAGTACCCCTTTGGATATTTTCAACGATAGAATTTTAATAGAGTAGCGTTTTCCTTCCACCCTACGGAACTATCGTTCTCATTATTACATTGTGTAAGGACGTTATGAATTTTCGGTAATTGGTAGTCTAGAGTCTTCGGCTCCATCGTTGCGCAATAACAGTTTCGTATCGTCGCTTTGTTGGTCCGGGATTAAGTTAGGGGATAATCAGGCCAACCGTTTTGCAAGCAAGGCTTGCTCCAATAGTTTCACCAATTTCTATTTAACAGATCATCGCAAATTGTCTTTAAAAAAATAACTAACAATTATTAACGAAATGACAAAGAAATCGTGTAAAATAATCAATTATTGCCTTTTTGGCAATTTTTCCATTATGCGTAACAAGGCGAATGGTTTTAATAATCTAGATCAGCAACATCCCAATAATAACCGTCGTAGAAGACAAAAGCATTCCAAAATAAATATAAAGGGATAATGAACTGACCAGGATATAGATTTTCTTGTAAATTTTTGCCCTTCATTGTTCAAAGAAAAACCAACGGTAAAAAAATAAGTTGGTCAATTCGGAATATAAATAATTATGTAATTTATTGTTTATCTGCTGTTGTTAAACAAATAGACGTGCTTATGTACGAAATATTGGGAATGATGGCAGAATCACCTTGGTGATTAAACAGGTCTGGGAATTTGCATATCGTTGACGTTCAACCTAGATTGCAATGCGTATGCCACCTTATTGATCATTTCATTTAGTTGTATTTCTGACAATTTGACATCTCAAAACTTGACGGATTTTAAAATAACATTAAAATAACTTTATAAATCTCTTTAGCAATGTTATGTAATGTAGCATTATACACTGACAGGCAAAAATTCTGCCCTTAATTTGCCTCATTGTTTTTATAAATAAATATTTGGTTATGCTTTGTTTTAAATTAGAAATATCAATTAGAGGTAACCACACTTAATTCTTAGATAGGAAGTTAGTGTCCGAGTCGATCGAAGTCACGATAGCTCAAGTGGTAGTGCAGCGGCGTAATTAGGCGAAGGTCGTGGGTTCGAATCCCGCTAGTGACGCTGACTTTTTTATCTCAACCAAAACGTTAATTAATTGAAAAGAATATATTTGGTCAAGCGGACCACGAAACCTAATAAAATTTGATTAATATATAAAAAATATATTCGAACCAAGTTATATTACAAGTGGGTGGAATTTGCATGTCCGTATATTTCAATTAAATGGTGGTAATTGTGTGTTTCCAAAGCGGTAAGCAAGCCACATCACACACTATTTGATTCATTTGGAAATTTTAAACATTCCCAACCGCTCACAAACGTATGTAAATTTGTCTGTGTTGATGTGTACCCCGAGCGTCTTAGCATTTCATTAACTAAATGACATTTATAAATTACCACTTGAATAAATCGTAATATGGCAGGATTTGCAATTCTAGGGCACCAGCTCTAATATGAGGTCGGTCTTCAGTGGTCGTCGGTTTTGAATAACTCAACAGTGTGCAGGATTCGTATGTGTGTATTACCCGCGGTATATAATTATTATTATCCGCCACTATTGCGGCTTCAAACGCCCCCATAAACCACTATACCATAAAATTCTATTTCACCATTATACGCAGAAAGGGTTAAATTTTTCCAACAAAAAAAGTGACCTTTCAAAATAGGCTATTTTTTAAATTTACATTAGTTTACTATTGTGGAGAAGAACCTAGGTAAGTTACTCTCCCATTACAACTTTCACTTTCCTCACTAGGAAGGAAATCATTAGGCCGGGTTTTAGGATGAAAAGTGTTTGAATAGGCGTTTATGGTCAGGGTCTAGTGTTTTATGAAGGTGTCTGTATCGTCCTGTTGCATTTTCGATGACAAATGGGGTTTAGAGGTCTGATTGGATAGTAAGGTAAGATAAAAAGTAGGGCGCAGGTCGTAATAGTAATGTTAAACAAAGCTCATTTTAGTAGTTTATATTGTCTACGTTCCAAGTTAGTTTTTTATCGATGTACAATAAATTCGTAAGTAGCGGACGACACTAGCTGCTAGCAAAAGAGGCAGAGTTGTAGATTGGAAAAGAGGTGATAAGAGATGGCGGAACGTTTTCTACTGACAATGAAATTTGATTTCACTAAATTTGATCCTTCTTTTCTTGAACCATTCTTGAACTAAAAGGAAAAAAGGCGCTGGAGGTTTCTGAAGACAAATGTTGGGTTTGAGTTTGTTGAAAAAATGGTGGTATCGGTTATGAAATATTAAATAGTTCTGTTCAACCATCAACCGTCACTTGTCTGAACAATAAATTCAGGTTTATAAATTTTGATTAAAAGAAAATCTATACTTTTGCCTCATGAACGCCATGAATTTAGGTAGGGGCAAGACTATATCAGAGAGAACTGCCGCTCAATGCTGATTTTTTGTGAAAGAGAGGGGGCCGCGGTAGCCGAGTGGTTAAGGCGTCAGATTCTCGGCTATTAGATCCCGCGGTCGTGGGTACGATCCCCACCATCGCCTCTGGAACGGTGGCCGCATTTGAAAGAAATTGACACGGCACTCATCAATGGAAGGGGCGGGATCAGATCTCAGTGGCCCTGAATTTGGTGCAAACTCACCTCAAACATGAGTTTCTTCGATGGAAGAACACCGGCACACCGGGGGCTAAAATGCACACTCGTGTTGCGAGCACCCAAAAATGGAGCCAGGGGTAAAGTACAATAAGCTGAAAAGCTGCAGTGTTCAGTGGGAACTCTTCCGGTTCCTGGTATCTATTGTTTAAAAAAATGAAGGATATTAAAAGATTGGGAGTATAAAACAAAGGAGATCAGTCTATCTATTACAGATAGCATATAAAAAGGGTCAGTATACTGCAAGAAATAGAAACGATGAGCAAATGATTCCCAGGACTGAAGAATATCGAACAACCTGAAAACTGGGTTTGTCGACGAAACTAATCGAACCGAAATACGCATGTAAAATTTCAAACAGTCATAAAAACAAAACACATTTCCGAATGAACCGTATTAATTACCCTTGTGTAACAACCCCCTCAGGACAATAGGCCTCGAATCCAGAGGCCTAGACTGGACTATAGGCATAACAAGGTTCAACAGTTCCATAAAGAATAAATATATTAATAGAAAAATATTTACCTTTCAGCACAAATAAAGCATTCCGCAACGAGACAACCTTCGAAGAGGAAGGATTCAGCATTTTCGCTTCGCCTTATAACCCTATCGTTTTGCTATATGACGACACATTGTTTAACTTACATAACCAACATTTATTCATATCTACACTTTTTAAAAAAGAATACGTAGTGAATTAGACGCTTTTTACATGAAATTCATACAAATATAATTATGCACTCTGCTTTTTTTAATGTTGCCCAATAATTAAGACATTACCTGAAGCATGTTCCAATATGGAATGACTTTTGATAGGCTCTCGGTCACCTCGGAATTTGACGTCCCAAGTAGGAAAGCCATTTTTTCCTTCCGTGTATACAAAGCATGAAAAAAAGCGTCAAGGCCGACGCCGGGATCGCACTGTAACAAAAAATAAAATTTTGATCAATTTAAAAAAATTTGACTAGAAAAAACGATCATCGGTAGGTATAATTGTTATCTCAACTAAAAACCTTAATTAATAGAAACATATTAATTGGTCAAGCGGACCACGAAAACTAGTGAATTTAATAAGTTTAAATGCAGTATGTCTTCACTAAAGCTCTCTGTGGCCATTTCATTTGTCGCCAAGAATCAAATAGATTACACGACATTTGAAAAATGGCAAAAAGGATGGAAAATTCAAAAGGTGGGGTTGAGATGGGAAGTTAGTGCCCGAGTGGATCGAAGTCACGATAGCTCAAGTGCTAGAGTAGCGGCGTATCAAGTCGAAGGTCGTGGGTTCGAATCCCGCTCGTGACACTGACTTTTTTATCTCAACTAAAAACCTTAATTAATTGAATGATATTAATTGGTCAAGCACCACGAAAACTAGTGAATTGGTATGTATAACTTCAGTAAATCGTGTTTTACCAAAGATTTCTCATTGTGAAAGAGAATGAAGAATAAAAACCACTTGAACTGATCTTGAGTTTTGTTAGGAATGACACTTTCACATCGGCCATATACAATAAAGACTACTCAAGGAAACTTGAGTTACCTATTTAGTGAATAATAACAATTTTCTCCAATAAATCCATCATGGAAGGTAAAAGAAAACGTATGCAAAAATAATCTGCCAGAGTTAAAGTAATCATTCCAATTGTTTTTTTTTTACATTTTCAACACATTGTCGCAAATAAAGCTTTTTATTATCCTCCCTGGAAACCCCGAGTAATACAGCGAGTTAAATATAAAAGATATTCCTTCTGGTAATGTTCCAATGGTTGTTATTTGCTAAAAACAATTTCAAAAAGTCACTTCCATTAAGGAAAATGGACTGAATAAATTTACTCTTCTTGTCGGTTTTAATAGTAATAAAATTTTTTATGCATAATTAAAAATATATACAGGAAAATATGACCTGAATTCGTAGAAGACGAGTAATTTTAATTTATGTCATTTTGTACATTCCTTTTGAGCCTGCTTTTTAACTGTTTTATATATGTATGTTTTAAAAAAAATAATTCCTTTCTTGTTTCACAAGATACTTTTCTTTATTCCAGCGGTTGTAGGAGAAAGGATAATAATGGTGCGGGGAGGTCGTTCTGAATACGGTAGTTCCCTGTGTCCTTTGATAATATTAAGTCTAAGTCGCCGTATTTTTTCAACCTATTTGTTTTCGTTGACATTTTACCGTTTATAATCCGTTCTACGTTATATTATTACACAGGTTTTAATAATGCGTACACTTTTTTGGCTCAATTGTAGTTTTGGTTTGTATTCTATCAAAAATATTTCATTCTAAGATCGTTGTAATGTGTTTTTCAGGAATATACAACCATATCGATATATCATTTTATTACAGCGTTATGAATTTCGGGGGCACCAGCGATACCGCTGTAAAAAAATTATATGTCGAAATGGTTGTATGATTCTGAAAAACACCTTAAAAACGATCTTAAAATAAGCGAAAAGCACGAAGGAAGGAGAGAAGAATAAATATTTCATTCTTATCAATACGTATTTCAATAACAAGTTATTCAATGCTGTCGAAGTGACCGTAGTTAAGAATGTATAATTTTTTTAAATGTATTTAAACGATATTCTGTAAGGAAATAATATCGACACATCGATAGTTATCAGTGAGAACTGAGCTAATCAATGGGCTCGATGTTGGGGGGTCCCCTTTACTAATATACCGAATGACTGTCGATACTACCGTTTTAAATTCTGCCAGCAAGGTGCTCTTTCTCTTTTTTCCGATAGATTTGGATGATTAATTGATTGAGTACTATCCTTTAGTTCTTTCGTGTTTATACGTTTTCTAGTTAAAATCAAAGGACTATATCTTTATATAAAATCAGGAAGACACTAATTCCTTTTATAATATAATACATTTATTTTCAGTCAAGCAAAATAACATTTCTTTACTTTATAGAAATAATAGAAAAAATTAAGACTGGGTGAGGATATTGATTCACTTTTTCTTAAGGATGGTTCTTACTCACAGGTTGTTGTTTACCATTATCCGGATTTCAAACATTCCACGCTCATCATGAGGTCTGCTAAGGTACTATTTTTTTGAAAGTTTTGTGCTAATAAACATTCATAGATTGATAAATTTAAAGTTATTTTCAAATAATAATAAATATATTATGTACGCTTTAAACGTTTGTTGAAAAAAATTGGAAGGTATATACTTCGGTATAACGGCGATGCGTTGCGGCACTGTATATCCTCAGCGCCGTATAATATTCGATAATTTATACATGGTGTCTCTAGTTATGCGTTTTCTATTTACGACTATAAGGTTATTTATTATGAACAGTTTTAAGTTTAAAAAGTTTAAATAATATCTTTATTTATTTTTAATAAAAATTTATACTAGGGTGTAGAGAATTGATTAATTGGAGGAATGTTTCAGAACCACTAGTGTACATAAAATATCTTCTACATGCAAACAAAAAAGGATTTCCAGTTTTCCATGAATATTTCGGCGAAACATGTGGATAAAGGAGACCCTTGGTAACCTTTAATTCATACTATTTATTAATAATTATAGAATAATTACATAGTAAACATATATTTAAGAGTTGTATTATATCATATTTTACAAATTCGTTAAAGAGTTTTCATAAGTTTTCGTTCTATTAGTTTTTACATTATTCAACAGGTACATTTCTGATTAAATTAGTAGCATCAAATGACACTAAAACACAGTTGTTAAGTATATCTTTGTTAAAAAAAAGTTCTTTTTTATCTTTTCACTTCGGCTTTCTCCTTTTATTACCTCACGCTTTTCACCAGCGCACTCTGCTAATTATCACCCGAAAACATATGAGGTAAGTTAGTTGAGTTTAAAAATCTCCTGAGGCAACTCTGGGTCAAGTTTTATGTAGGATCTCCATAGGATAGAATAAGCTGACACCTGGTAGCAGAGCGTAGTCAGGAAGACACTTTCTTTTTAAAGCGTAAAAATAAAAGAAGAACATAGATCCAAAAGTTAATTTTTTTCTAACCTATTTGTTTATTGCAGACTAAAAATTCTTTGTCCGTTCATAATATTAATTTACTAATTGAATTAATTAGAATTGAAGCAGGGTTGAAACGGAAACTTACTTGACCAAAAAGTCAAGCTTGTATTTTTTTCAGATCAACAAGGAAAAGGTCTGCATCAAAATTTGATAATTATAATACGCTTGCTTATTCCCCATCTACTCTCGCAATATCAATTTTTCCAGAGTAAAAATTAATGAAAATGAGCCAAGCCTAAATACGTAAATTGTGTATAATTCCTGTGAGCATTCAGTAACTGTTCGGTAAATGCGATAAACGCAACAAATTTTATCACTTCGTATGTGAACCTAAATATCAATATCGTTAAAAATCGATCAAAATGCGTACGATCCATGTCGAAGCTTCTTACTCTACTCAAAGCCCAGACACAAATTTAATGGCTGAATATAAAAAAATTTAAATCTAACATCGTTAGTTAAAATTTAATTATTCAGAAATCGTGAGATGCGGTATGGTGTGATAGGTTTCAGAAAAACATTTTCTTTATCGTGCCAACCTTTTTTTTTTCACCTCAAAGAAGCCGACGCCTTACACAAAATTGTCTTTTATATACCGACTTCCTTCCCCACCCCTTCAAAAACCAAACATATATAAACATAAAACAGCAAAATCTCACTTGCACTCTCAACACGACACGCAAGAATGGCACAATTACACAGAAGACAAACACTTTGAGTGAGTAGAAATACTTTTATTGAATATAAAAAATATATTTTGCACCGTATAAATTCACTTTTCCACATCCTAAATGTATTTGTTAAATGGAAACAATGTGTGTAAATCCCAGGCCCTAAAGATGATCTCAATAAAGATTGAAACGTTGGCACAATAAAGAAAATGTTTTTCTGAAACCAATCACACCAGACCGCATCTCACGATTTCTGAATAATTATCGATTAACGGTCACTAATCACCATACACCACATTAACACCATAATCACCATAAATGTAAGCCCAATTAAAAATAAATATCAACATAACGAGTTCTAACAATAAAAATGGAAATTAGACAAACACATCATCCAAATAGAAGTAGAAAATAAACGTATGGGATAATCATTAGACGAAAAAATTAGCATAATTAATTATTTACAGGTACAATCACTGGACAAACACGTGAAACATGTTATACGCAGCCCACAAAATCTGTATTCAGTCACTATACATTTGATTGTACAGAAAAAATTCAAAATATTAATCTGCCCCATATTTTCCCAAATACCGAAATTCCGCGATATTTAGCAGAATTAGCCGCCTTAGGCAACGGTTACTATGGATGCGGATTCTGACAAAATTTTGTTCTGACGATTTCGTCCGAACAATCGAATACATGCTTTCCAATGAGAGTGTTTACTTTGGCAGCATGTCAGAACACGCAGGATGTCGTCAGAAGCATTCGAGCGTTCAAACCAATTTGATTTTTCGTGTGTTCTGACGATCAATTTGACATTTTTGTTATTTCACCGTGGATATAGATAAACTGATTAGTCTTGTTTTGCATACTTTCTTACACAACCAAAAATTGAATGTTGAGATAATAATAATAAAGTTTATTGTTATAATATGCCATGCTATCTTAGAGAGAGAGAGAGAGAGAGAGAGAGAGAGAGAGAGAGAGAGAGAGAGAGAGAGAGAGAGAGAGAGNGTGAATTTATACAATGCAAAATATATTTTTTATATTCAATCAAAGTATTTCTACACACTCAAAGTATTTGTCTTCTGTGTAATTATGCCATTCTTGCGTGTTTTCACCTCAAAGAAGCCGACGCCATAAAAAAATGTCTTTTCTATACCGACTTCCTCCTCCACCCCTTCAAAATCCAACATATATAAACATAAAACAGCAAAATCTCACTTGCACT